TCACGATAGCGTTCTTTGGTCGATTTTAACATTTCAGTTTTGCTGACTCGACGGCACGTTTCGGCGCATGGTACGATGCGCCGTATTGAGGCCGCTGCCTATACAGCGTTTTCAATGTTTCATGATTTCGTAACGAGCATGAGTGTCAAATAAATAAATCAAGTTATGAATACAGCCACCATGTCGTTGACATCATGCAAAGTTCCTATGTGATCTCAACGAATGATATTTAGGTCTCTGTTAAATTTGCTAGCGAACGCATTGTTTTGTTTATTGGGGAAAATTTAGGTTTAAAAAAATTTAATTGGCACGTAATTAATGCATGGTGTCCTAGGTCGTGTATGTGACTGACATTTACCGTGACTTCCCTCATGTCTGTACATATTAGGTCAATAAGCGTCTCATAGTGTGACGTGAAATGTGTGGGTTTGTCAACACGTTGGGTTAATCCGAAACATGTTAGAAAACTATTCAACTTTCTCGTATCACAAGACGATGAATCGAGTAAGTTTATATTAAAATCTCCCATAAGTATAATGTCACTGCACCATGTAACTGAACTAATCGTTTCAGCTAGGCCATCTAAAAAAGTATCAGTATTGAGCCAAGGGGGTCTGTATGCCGTACCTATAACTAGCCTTCTTCCATTTATTGATAAGGATAGCCACATCTGTTCTACGCCCGTGGAAGTGGGGTGGGGTACATATCTAACCGACACATCGTGCTTAATGTAGAAACCTACGCCACCATCGCGCGTACGTACTTCTGGCGGCCGAGGCATGTGACACAGTCGGTAGCCGGGTACAGACGGGGCACGTCCTTCCGCCCCCTCTCTCAACCAGGTCTCGTTTATCGCCATGATGTCAACATCATGACGTTCCATGGCCACTAAGAATTCGTCGTGGTGTGTACCCAGAGAACCCGCATTCCATAAACCTAACTTCATTTTACATTTTTTATTGAAAAGAAATAATATAACAATAATTAATCAAAATTAAAATATTCATATTAAAATTTAATTTATAATAATTATGTCGGATTTGAAATATATAAAGCGTGAGAAATAACGAATATCTATTACAGTATGGACATGCGTTGTAGTAACAAAGCAATAAAAATGATAAGCATCTATTTATGTGATTGTTTATTTGTAGTGTCACTGTAGTTTTACGACTGATCTCGTTAACATGTTTGTTCCAGCTAAGAGTACTGTCCATCAACAAGCCGAGATTTTTAACATGCGCACTGTAGGTAATAGTTTGATTGAGATGGTACGCAGACTCTGATGAGAACTAGAGGCAAAGTGCCAAACTCAATTTTGCTAAGTTGTTGTTTGCTTCCAAGGATTATAGCCTGACACTTGGAAGGATTAATAGAAACACCAAACTTTTTGGACCATTTGAGAATATGATCGAGATCAATATTCAGATTATCGATGGCCTCACCAAGCTCAGAAGCTACAGCTTGAGAGTATACCTGAAGATCATCTGAATATAGATGGTAAGAGCATTTGAGATTTGTAGTGATAAAATCAATAAAGATAGAAAAAAGTAAAGGAGACAAAATTCCGCCTTGCGGAACGCCAGCGACAAGCTCGCACCAGTCAGAAAAAGACTGGTTTACACGGACTGCTTGCTGACGACCACGAAGATAAGAGGCAAACCATTTCACGACTGATGATTAAAACCCAAGATGTGCAAGGATGGCGAGTAGGATGTCGTGATCAACCGTGTTAAATGCGTTGGAAAAATCAACCAATACCAGAACAGTTAATTTGGATTGTTCCATGCCCTCCCTCACATCCTCGGTGATTTTCAGTACAGCAGTAGTAGTGCTGTGTCCAGGACGAAAACCTGATTGGTAAGGACTCAACAGTTTGTTAGTCAATACAAAAGCAGATAATTGTTTGTGGACAACAGCTTCTAAAATTTTTGAGAGGAAGGGCAGGATTGAAATAGGTCTAAAGTCCTTAGGGAGTTGTGGGGAGGAAACTTTAGGAAGGGGAAGCACAAATGCTTTAAGCCAGGATGTAGGAAATTCGGAGGAATGTAGAGAAGAATTGATGATGTGAGTAATGATAGCTAACAAATGTTCGAGTAGAAGAGAATAATCATAATCCTACTCACATCATCAAAACCAATACAATTGGATTTAATTGAGGAGATTATCTTGTGGACTTCATCATCAGTAACTGGCGAAAATAAAAATTCATCAATAGGACGTTTAGGCCATGAAGTTATTTCAGCTAAAGAGATAGATTTCTGAAAATCATTCAATGTGGGAACTGAGGAAAAGTGCCTATTTAGGTCATTTAATGAGATAGATGAGGAAAAATCATCAGACTGTTTGCACAGCCCAAGTGACTTTAGAAACTTCCAGGTATTGGCCGAAGAGGTATTTAGAATGTTCGAGTGGATATGACGGCGTTTAGCAGCTCTTACCATATAGTTGCAACGATTGCGCGCAATTTTGAAAGCCTTCCAGTTCTCTTCACAACGATCCCTTTTGTAAACTAAATGCACGATTACGCTTTCTCAAAGCCATGCGCACTCCCGTAGTTATCCAGGGAGCTGGCTGTTTTTTAGCTCTGACAAGGTGAACCGGAGCATGCTTGTCAAAGATTTGGAGTATATATTGGTTAAAAACGAACACCTTATCGTTTGTTGAAGAGGCGGACAGTACGCATGACCAATCTAAATCAGTCACTTCCTTCCCTAAACCATACGTGTAAACTTTAGCAAAACTACGCAGACGAACGACGGTAGGCTTGGGCTTGAAGGTTTTTATGTTGTAGGAGATATAAATGAGATCGTGTCTGGAGAATCCAGGAGCAGGAAATTGACCATGTTTTAATATGAACTCAGGTGAGGACACATAAATATGATCAAGCCAGGTGTCATGGGAGTCATTGTTAGTGTGGGTAGCACTAAGGGGTAACACTGAAAGGCCCACCGACTGCACAATATCGCGTAGCTTACGAGATCTGTGAGTGTCTTTGAGCAAATCAGTGTTAAAGTCACCCATGATAACATGATGTGCGTGCTCCGCCATAATGTTCTCGAAAATAGACTCAACGTCATGGAAGTAATCAGTGGAAGGAGGACAATATATAACACCGAGAACAATCTTACTTCCCCTAACATCAACTACCACGAATAAATATTCAGCACCACCGGGCGCGGCAGAGGTAGCTAAAGTTTTATAAGGGAAGCCACTGCGTAAGTAAATAGCAACCCCTCCACCTCGCCTGTCAATACGATCGTTCCGTATAAGGAAATACCCCGGTAAACTAATAGAAGTGGACATCACAGAGGGTTTTAACCACGTTTCAGAAACCAAGATCGCGTCGACAGCATTCATATTAAAGGTATTCATCAATTCACTATGATGTTGGGGTAAACTGAGCATTAATATGACAAATGTTTAGATTACGGTGTGTGTTTACTAATTAATTGCAAATATTTGTAGAAAGAGATGCATCTAACAGGGACATATCAAGAGACTCAAAAGATTCATTAGAACTGTGGGCCGAGTAAAAAGATTCATTGTCAGACATTAAAATATGTAAATGTAAATAAATTAGAAATATATGTATATATATATATATATATAAATACTTAATAAAATAAAAATAATATTATTACACTATATAAAACAAAAATAAATAAAGGTAAAAAGAACGCGATGCACCAACACTCATACTTTGCACTAACCGCCGGCCAACTGCAATATAAAAAACAATTTACAATAACTGAGAAACGTCTTAAAAATTACATACAGAAAGCCCACATGAATTAAATATTCATAGAAAACTTTAAGCTACTTTACACTAAAATTTAAATAACTATAAATTAATAAAATACAGTCAGTGAGTCTCAAAAGTGTGGGTGTTAACGCCTGCATGTTTGTTAAAGGCAATACTCATATTCGTAACGGATAGTAGCGTACTTTTGTTTTATTACCACCGTCATAAAATTTTTATCATATTGTCTGTGACTTAAGTGAAGTAACATTCTTTTACATCTCGCTAAGAAATATTATTGTAAAAAGAGAAATATACGTTCCATTCAAGATAATTCATTTTATTTATATCAAGAAATACAAAACCTAACATCTGGCGACCGTACTACGAACCAATATCTGAGGAAAAGAAGAAATCACAAAACAAATCAGACGACAACCAACAATCAAATTGTATCAAATTTCTTCAAATCAACGGGTTGCAATATTATTGTAATTATAAGAATAACTAGAACAGCAAGTCATCGCAGCCAACGCCGGTATTTGCCCAAGACAGCACACCGCAGCCAAGCCGATGCAGCTAAGTGTTCATACCATTATCAATTCCTAATAATTCCCGTCTTTCAGTACAATTCCTATTCCATAGATTCCCAAGAGAAACGTTTTCTTTTGCTCCAATTTATATATAGACTTCACTTGTGCTTCAATATATTTTTAAATAGCGTAGTAGTATAACAATATTCGAATACAAGGTACGAGTGTTTTAATAATTATAATATTTAAGGTTGTTTTAATTTTCGTAGGTACATGTATGGTAATGAATAAACGTTAAGTTTATTCATTTATATATATCTATTTACAAACTTTAATAATAGCTGTCTGTCGTTAATTTGTGCATCTAAACGTGGATTATACTGTATTTCATATTAAATTAATGCAGAAAATATTGTACGTATAGTAACTACTTATAATAAATGTCACATTTTGTAAATTCCAGATAATCTGTGATTGAGTCACTGTTTTGGTTGGGACTAATTCGGACCGCACACTCGTTTCTTAAGAGTAAGTGCAGAACCGGGTTCCTGTTCATTCGTCAAGTCACAGGAGGAGCGTGAGCAATATTTAAACATTTTATTTACTACTAATCTATTAGTTTGATATTGAGTAAAGCAATATTAAATTATCAAACATCGAAATCAATCGTGTGTTGTTATCGAGTCATAATATAACTTTCTTCTATCAAAAAGTATATCAACAACATGGATTCTGGCTCTTCAGACTTGCAAGACCTAATGGTAAAACGCAGTTCTATTAAGGGTCAAATTACAAAATTTAAAAATTATATAGTCAGTATTTCGTGTAAGGAGATATTAACTCCATTAGAGTTTAGTGAATTAACAATTAAGCTCAGTAGATTTGAATCACTTTCTAGCCGGTTTGATACATTGCAAAATCGAATAGAGGTTTTAAATTCCAGTAATTTAGATAGTGAGATAGATGAGAGGGATGATATGGAACAGTTATTTGTGACTAATACGGCCGTTGCTCAGAGTATTATTCAGAAACATCAACAAAATAACCATAGAGATGATAGTAATTATAAAGACCTGAATTCTACTCAAATGTCGTCTCCCGCTGGTCAGCATGAATTGGGATTTAAAATACCACACGTACAAATTGCCAAGTATGATGGGACCTACTTCCGGTGGCTTGAATTTAAGGACACATTCTTGTCTATTATTCATAATAATGAGCGTATTGCACCAATTCACAAATTTTATTATTTAACTTCTTATTTAGAAGGAGATGCAGCTCGTGTAATATCTAATTTGGAAGTATCTAGTAATAATTACGAAACGGCTTGGAATTTATTGTGTGAGCGGTATGACAATAAACGCCAGTTAATCAAACATCATTTAGATTCGTTATTGAACCTTCAAAACATAGTCCGTGAATCTGATAAGGCACTTAGATTTTTAGTTGATCATGTGACAAAGAATTTACGAGCATTGGGCAACTTGGGTCAACCCACGGACAAGTGGGATATTTTAATCATACACATCATGAGTTCAAAATTAGATAATAATACTCTTCGAAAATGGGAGGAATGGCGTGGTACATTGGATGACATTCCTAATTTAAAACAATTTAGTAAGTTTTTAATCGATCGTGCTGACGTTCTAGAATCATTAAGTCGTAGCTCTACCAGTAATAAATTTATTTCTTTGCCAAAGGGATCTAACTCCAAATTTGAAAGACCACATATTAAATCGTTTGCTTGCACCAACGAAGTAAGTGCTCCTTCTATATCTTGCGTTATATGTAATGGAAAGCACCGCATTTATGACTGCACTTCCTTTAAAGCTAAGGACATAGAAGAACGTATAAATGAAGTACATAAGTTAAAATTATGTAGCAATTGCTTAAGGTCGGGTCACGCAACACGAAACTGTCGCTTGGGACCTTGTCGCATTTGCAAAAGGAGGCACAATAGTTTATTACATCGCTCAGTCACTGACGTAAGTACATCTTCCTCACCACCGCAATCCTCTCATAACGCTACTGATACAATTGTTAATTTGGCAAATGAAAATGTCTCTCAAGTCTTATTGTCCACTGCTTTAATAGAAGTAGTTAATCCGATTACACTCCAAAAGGAAAGAGTCCGTGCATTGTTAGATTGCGGCAGCCAATCATCCTTCATGACGAATAATCTAAAAAATAGATTGTCATTAAAATCAAATAGTAATCAGTTGGTTAATGTTATTAGCGTAGGTAATAATGTTTTTAATAAGGTTACAGAAACTTGTGTGGCGCAGTTGAAATCTTTAACAAAGCCATTTAACGTCACATTGGGTTTCCTAATATTACCAGAAATAACAGGCGATTTACCTAAGGCAAAAATAGACATAAATAATATTAATTTGCCTAACAATGTTATCCTTGCTGACCCTAACTTCAACCATCCAGCACCCATTGAAATCCTAATTGGTGCCGATATTTTTTGGGATATCCTAGGTTGTGAGCAGCATTCCTTAGGTCCGAAGCACCCTAAATTAAGGAATTCCCAATTTGGTTGGTTAATCTCTGGTCCCATTTATACCAACTTCTGTTACAAACAAGCTAGTACTCAATGCCATCATACCGTAACTACAAAACCAGATGATAACATTCATCAAGAGCTCACTAAGTTTTGGGAAATCGAAGAGGTTTCACTAAAATCACTACTTAGCGAAGAGGAGAAGGCATGCGAAAGGCATTTTTTATCACATACTACTAGATTAAATACAGGTCGTTTTTGCGTTCATCTTCCTGTAAAGGATTCTCCTGATTGTTTAGGCGAATCATATACCTTGGCTAAAAGGCGTTTAGTAAGTTTAGAAAGAAAATTCAGAAAGCAATCAAGTTTGAAGACACAATATATTGAATTTATGCGAGAATACTCAGAATTGGGACATCTCTCCGAATGTACATTAACTGAATATGATGAAGCTTATTTTTTATGTCATCATGCTGTGTTTAAAGACACAAGTGAATCGACGAAAATAAGGGTTGTGTTTGATGGTTCTGCTCCATCGTCTTCAGGCCAGTCTATCAATGACCTTCTTATGGTGGGGCCCAATATGCAGGATACACTTTTTTCTATTTTAATTAGAGCTCGTCAACATAAGTATCTCCTTACTGGAGATGTAGAAAAAATGTATCGACAAATTCAAGTAGCTAAGAGAGATCGCAAGTTTCAATTGGTTTTATGGAGGGAAGACGAGTCTGAGCCTATTAAGGCCTATGAACTTAATACCGTAACATACGGAATGGCTAGCTCAAGTTATTTAAGTACACGCTGTTTATGGCAATTAGGGGAAGAAAGTCCAGATAAAAAAGTAAAAACCATTATACAACGAGATTTTTACATCGATGATCTAATTACTGGAGCTGAAAATGAACATGATTTGCGTTACATTCACAAAGCTGTTTCCGAGGTCCTTCAAAAAGGTTGTTTTAATCTTAGGAAGTTTAAAACCAATTTACCGTCTATTGTGCAAAACAATTCAAATAATGATGATTTATCATTCAGTGAGTCAACAAGTACCTTGGGAATTGGTTGGAATCCGCCCACTGACACACTTCATTTTCCTATTAAATTTCCATGCTCTGTGGAAACCGCTAATTTAAGTAAGCGTGCAGTACTTTCCTCTATATTTAGAATATTCGATCCATTAGGTTTATTAAGTCCATGTGTAGTAAGAGCTAAAATTATCTTGCAGCAAATTTGGTTATTAAAGGTCGGTTGGGATGAACCAGTACCTGACAATATACAAATGGAATGGAACGGTTCCTGCCATTACCGAGGAGGAGTTCGTCGCGGCCGTGGATAAACTCCGGGGCAAGAATGTCGCCCCGGGTCCGGATGGTATCCACGGCCGCGTCCTGGCCTTGGCCCTAAACACCCTAGGGGACCGACTCCGGCGCTTGTTCAACGCGTGTCTGGAGTCGGGACGGTTTCCCAATCAGTGGAAAGCGGGTAGAGTGGTCCTGCTCCGCAAAGCGGAGCACCCCGCAGGTTCGGTGGTTCCCTCGGCGTTCCGCCCCATAGTGCTGTTGGACGAGATCGGCAAGCTCTTCGAGCGAATCTTGGCGGGCCGACTCGTCCAACACCTGTCCCAGGTAGGTCCCGATCTCAGCCCGAAGCAGTTCGGGTTCCGAGAGGGGCGCTCGACGATCGACGCGATCTCGCGTGTGCGCTCCCTCTCGGAAGAGGCGACGTCCCAGGGTGGGGTGTTGTTGGCGGTCTCTCTAGACATTAAGAACGCCTTCAACACCCTGCCCTTTGCGACTATTAGGGAGGCGCTGCAGTACCATCGCGCGCCTCCCTACATTCGGGACGTGATCGGGGCCTATCTCGAAGACAGGTCTGTGCTCTGCACGGGGCGGAACAGCGTTGTAGTGTCGAGGGAAATGCAACGCGGTGTTCCACAGGGATCGGTTCTGGGCCCGATCCTGTGGAACATCGGGTATGATTGGAACCTGCGGGGCGCCCTTTTAACGGGCACTGACCTCGTGTGTTACGCGGATGACACCTTGGTCACTGCCCGGGGGCGGGACCTACGGGAAGCTACCCGCTTTGCCACGGCAAGCGTGGCACTGGTCGTCGGCCGAATAAGGAGGCTTGGGCTCCAGGTGGCGCTGGAGAAGACCGAGGTCCTATGTTTTCATGGCCCTCGGCGCGCGCCACCTCCGGATGCCCAGCTGGTCGTCAGTGGCCAGAGGGTGGGGTCAAGCCCTGTATTAGGTATTTGGGGCTTGACCTGGACAGCCGTTGGAGCTTCCGCGCTCATTTCCGGAACCTGGTCCCTCGCCTTATGGCAGCCGCCGGCGCTCTTAGCTGGCTGCTGCCAAACGTGAATGGCCCGGGAGAAGGACCCCACCGCCTATACCTCGGCGTGATGCGGTCCATGGCCCTGTATGGGGCCCCCATCTGGGTGGGGGCCCTAGGAAGGGAAAATGTGGCCTGCCTTAACAGGCCACACAGGGCCATGGCCATCAGGGCCATTAGAGGCTACCGCACCATATCCGGGGAAGCGGCGGGTCTGCTGGCGGGGTCTCCTCCGTGGGACTTGGTAGCGGAGCTCCACGCGTCAGTGTACCACTGGCGCGCGGAGCGACGTTCCATGGGGGAGGCACCCGCTGGCCCGGAGATTGGAGCGCGGAGGTCCGACTTTCGGCGGATCCTCAGGATCAGGTGGAGAGAAAGGCTGGCCAGTCCATCGGCCGGCCTGAGGACCGTCGAGGCTGTCCGTCCCATCCTCAAAAGGTGGATGAATAGGAGATGGCCACTGACGTACCGCATGACACAGATACTGTCCGGGCACGGGTGCTTCGGGCGGTATCTGTGTCATGTGGCGAGGAAGGAGCCGACGACCGGCTGCCACGAGTGCGGAGGTGTGGAGGACACGGCGCAACACACGCTGGACGAATGTCCAGCGTTCGAGAGTGAGCGCCGTGTCCTCACACGAATAGTGGGGGACGATCTCTCGCTGCCGAATTTAGTTCGGAGGATGATCAGTAGCGAGAGATCGTGGCTGGCGGTGAGCTCCTTCTGCGAGGAAGTTATCTCGCGGAAGGAGGCGGCGGAAAGGGAGCGGGAGTCAGATCGTCCCGCTTCCCTCCGCCGCAGAAGAGCCAGGCCTAGAGGTGGGGGCGTACCCAACTCCGCCCCCCTCTATCCCCCACTGGGGCCGGGGTGACTGCCTTGAGGGAGGCAGTCCCCCAATCCAAAGGCCCCGGAGGTGTGCGTGTGTACCCACACGCCTCCACAATGGAGTAGGGCGAAATAGGTCGCCCTAACCACAAAACGAGATGGGGCCTGCCCTACAACATCTACAGGGCGGGCCGTCGCCGTCGGAGCTGGGGTAGAATGCACTTGCGAATCCCCTGGCTCCGGCATAGGCGCTCGTAGGTACACCGTGTGGTTTTTTAGTGGGTACAAGTCCCACACACCACCTCGCCATCCCTCCGGCGGGGTGACGGTCTTTTGAAGATTTTTCCACACGTTAAAAAAAAAAAAAAAAAAAGGTCTAAAGTCCTTAGGGAGTTGTGGGGAGGAAACTTTAGGAAGGGTAAGCACAAATGCTTTAAGCCAGGATGTAGGAAATTCGGAGGAGAGTAGAGAAGAATTGATGATGTGAGTAATGATAGGTAGCAAATGTTCGAGTAAGAGAATAATCATAATCCTACTCACATCATCAAAACCAATACAATTGGATTTAATTGAGGAGATTATCTTGTGGACTTCATCATCAGTAACTGGCGAAAATAAAAATTCATCAATAGGACGTTTAGGCCATGAAGTTATTTCAGCTAAAGAGATAGATTTCTGAAAATCATTCAATGTGGGAACTGAGGAAAAGTGCCTATTTAGGTCATTTAATGAAATAGATGAGGAAAAATCATCAGACTGTTTGCACAGCCCAAGTGACTTTAGAAACTTCCAGGTATTGGCCGAAGAGGTATTTAGAATGTTCGAGTGGATATGACGGCGTTTAGCAGCTCTTACCATATAGTTGCAACGATTGCGCGCAATTTTGAAAGCCTTCCAGTTCTCTTCACAACGATCCCTTTTGTAAACTCTAAATGCACGATTACGCTTTCTCAAAGCCATGCGCACTCCAGTTATCCAGGGAGCTGGCTGCCTTTTAGCTCTGACAAGGTGAACCGGAGCATGCTTGTCAAAGATTTGGAGTATATATTGGTTAAAAACGAACACCTTATCGTTTATTGAAGAGGCGGACAGTACGCATGACCAATCTAAATCAGTAACTTCCTTCCCTAAAACAGACGACCTTATTCTCAAAGATCATGGATTCGATTGTCAACCGTCAACTCCTACGATACCTAGAAGTGAACCAATTGATTTCTGATCGTCAATATGGCTTTCGCCAGGGTCGGTCGGCTGGTGATCTTCTAGCGTATTTGACACATCGATGGGCAGAGGCTATTGAGAGTAAGGGGGAGGCCCTAACTGTTAGTCTGAATATTGCGAAGGCATTTAATCGGGTTTGGCACAAGGCTCTTCTTTCAAAGCTACCATCCTTTGGGTTGCCTGCGAAGTTATGCAAATGGGTCGCCAGCTTTGTCGCTGATCGGAGCATCAAGATGTTTTTCGATGGTGCTTGCTCCGACCCACACTCTATGAATGCTGGTGTTCTACTAGGCTGTGTGCTATCTCCGACTCTGTTCCTTCTGCATATCAATGACATGTTACAAGTTAACAACATTCATTGCTATACGGATGACAGTACCGGAGATGCCTTGTACAGCGGCCATGCTAATATGTCGCAGGCAAAAGTTATAGAGTACCGGAACAAACTTATGTCCGAAATCGACACTTCACTCCATCAAGTTTCGGTTTGGGGTCAGGAAAATTGTGTTCAATTCAACCCCAAGAAGACACAAGTTTGCGCGTTTACCGCTAAAAAGAATCCATTTATCGTATCTCCTCAGTTTCAAGACACTCTCCTTGATGTGAAGCCAAATCTCGAGGTCCTTGGCGTTGATATATTCAGTGACGTTCAGTTTTGCGGTCATTTGGAGGGCAAGGCTAAAATAGCCTCCAAAAAGCTTGGTGTGCTCAGTAGAGTGAGACGGTATTTCACGGCGGCCCATCGCTTGCAATTATACAAGGCGCAGATCCGGCCGCATATGGAATACTGTTCTCATCTCTGGGCGGGAGCACCACAATACCATCTACTTCCATTTGACCGCATTCAGAACCGAGCAGCCAGAATCATTGGTAATCAACGTCTATGTGACAGACTTGACCCATTGGCTTTGCGGCGAGATATTGCATCTCTGTGCATTTTCTACCGCATATATCACGAGGAGTGTTTCACCACCGTACCACCCGCCAGAAACTGAAATACCATCCTGATCATCTGGATGAATGGCGGTCTTCCACAGTACGGTTTTCTAGAAACTTTTTGCCTCGCACAACCACATTGTGGAATCACCTCCCAGCAATGGTATTTCCGAACCGATACGATATTGAAACCTTCAAAAAAAGAGCTTATTCCTTTTTAAAAGGCCGACAACGTACTTGCAATTCCCCTGGTGTTGCGGGTGCTCATGGGCGGCGGTAATCACTTACCATCAGGTGAGCCGCATGCTCGTTTGTCCCCTGTGTTATAAAAAAAAACCTTTTTAGGTGATGTTTCGTAGAACAAACAATTGCTTCAGCAAGACCATTAAAATGAGGTGAGTATGGCGGAGCAAAGGAAAATTGTATACCTTCTTGAGCCATATCTGTAGCGACATTTGAAGTATCTAAAAATCGTTGCAACTCATTACTAGCACCAACAAAATTGGTACCGTTGTCAGATAAGATATTGCGCGGTTTACCTCTACGAGATACGAAACGGTTTAGAGCTGCCATATATGATTCTTTCGTGAGGTCTGTAACCATCTCCAGATGAACAGCTTTCACTGCTTGACAAACAAAGATGCTGATGTAGGATTTTATTAATTGACACCTTCTCCCTTTACGGCTCGCTATCAATATAGGCCCGGCTTATGTACACTAGTAGTGTTATAAAAAGGGAATTCTAGTAGTGTCCTTTCTGTAGGCAGCTGTCCCATAGTAAAAGGCTGTCAAAAGTAATAGGCTGTAAGTTTTGTGCTTTATATCTGAAACATGTAATACACTTTTAGATAAGTTTCTGCCTCCTAAAGGCCAGCAATTTTGCCGTATATTTGCTAAAAGCAATTGTGGACCGGCATGCAGAAGACGTCTGTGATACATGTCAAATAGAGCCCTAGTGAGATGGTGTTTACTACATAAGAGTATGGGCTATTTAATGTTGTATTCATATGGGGAATTGTCAAGCCTGCCACCTACATGAATAATGTCGTTGCAGTCTAAAAACGGAGACAATGAAGTTAATTTATTTTTACGTGGCAGTGTTTGTCCTGACTTAATGATTTCAATCGCTACAGGAAACATATCGAGTTGAGCACTACGAATTATACAAGTTACTGAAGCTGTAGTTCTTTAATAGATAAATATCCATATCTTTTGTTATTTTAATTTTTAAAATTGTATATATATCTTTGTAAGTAGGTTATGATTCGTTGTAAATAGTTAAAATTTAAATATTTAATAGTTAAGTCATGTATAATAGAATAACATTTATGTGTATAAATATTTGAATTGTCAATAAAATGAGATAAAACTTCCGGTAGATCTTGTTCTATGTTATCGTTAGGTATTTTCGGCCAGTGACTAGAGTTGTTGGAGAGAAAGGACGGGCCTGACCACCATAAAGTGGAGTCGATAATAAGATCGGCTTTAATCTCACGGGACACAAGATCTGCTGGGTTGTCTCTCGACGGTACGTAGCTCCACGAGTATTTAGCGGTTGCCTCTTGTATTTCGTTAACACGATTTCTGACAAACTGTTTAAGCTGATTCGGTGGGGTAGACAGCCACACCAGAATTGACATCGAGAAATAGGTACAGTAAGAGAGTCCAGAACCTTGTACCTAATAGCGCACCACATAACTCGAGACGAGGAACCGTTGTGGGTTTGATAGGTGCTACGCGGTTTCTAGAGACTAATAATTGCACATTTACTGAACATTTGTTGTCTATGGAACGAACGTATAGAGCTGCACCATAAGCTTTAGTGGATGCATCCTTAAACACATGAATTTCATATGAAATAGAATTGTTACATGAAATCCATCGTGATATTCTCATATTATTAAAATAATTTAGAGTGCTAGAAAATCGTCCCAACCGTATTTATTAATCCATAATTTCTGCAGTATTATTTTAGCTTCCACAATACAGGGACCAACAAGGCCCAGTGGATCGAAAATTTGACTGATAACAGATAGGATGTGACGCTTTGTGATTAAGTTATTTGTATCAATATTAATGAAGAACGATAGGGTATCTATGTCATACAACCAGTACAGGTTTTAGATGACGCATAACTATTATTTGAGAGGTCTAAGGTTTTTTTTTATTTTTTTTTTTTTTATTTATATCATGCAATCAGTCGTATCGTGAGAGATGATTCTCCATTGAGAATCCAGCCTCAGATATTCCAGCTTATGCCAGGTTGTTGAAGTGTAGTATTTTACGTCTCTTAAGACGTACCATATAATCAGGCAATGTCAGTTGAACAGCAAGTTTATTTGGATGTCTGTCCAGCTTGATTTTATATTGTTTTATTGTTTGAGAGATTTGCTCCTTGACAGAGTTGATCCCCAGGTGGTGATGAACCTCCGAGTTACGAATAAACCAGGGTGCGTTACAGGTTTGCTTCAATATGTAGTTTTGAGCTCTTTGAATTTTGTTGATGTTGGTAACACTTGCAGAACCCCACAGCTGGAGCTCATACGTCCAGATTGGCTTAAGGATTGTCTTGTATATGAGTAGCTTATTGTCAGTAGACAGCTTTGAGTTTCTTCCAAGCAGCCATTGCATTTCTCGGTATTTGATATTAATCTCATCTCTTTTAGCTTGGATGTGCTTAGACCAAGTGAGTCGACGATCAAGATGCATACCCAGGTATTTCACAGTTTCACAAGTGGGAAGTGTGCTCGAACCCATCATCACGGATGGACAGTTGCCTTTTCTAAGGGTGAAAGTTATGTGAACTGATTTTGAGGCGCTGAATTTAATTTTCCGTTGCTTTAACCACAGACCAATCTTTGTGAGAGCATTTTGTAACAGATCTGTAGCCTCCACTTGATTTTTACTACAAGCTAAGATGGCTGTATCATCTGCAAAGGTGGCTACGGTTGTTCCCTGTGTTTCCGAAATATCTGCTGTGAAGATACTATATAGTAGTGGACCAAGTACGGAGCCTTGTGGCACCCCAGCCAGAACTTCGTAAAATGCCGAGGTGTACTCATTCTCCTTTACTTGGAAGATCCTTTCCCTGAGATAAGACTCCATTAGCCAATATAGATTATATGGGAGGAGGTTCTTGATTTTATAGAGTAAGCCTTCATGCCAAACTTTATCGAATGCTTGCTGTACATCTATAAAAGCTGCGGAGCAATACTTTTACGCTCAAACGCATCTCGAACAACCTTACACACTCTATGAACTTGCTCTATTGTTTTTCAGAGAGCCTTTGTGTCAAACGTTCAAAGAGTACTTTCTCGAAAAGCTTTGACACCACTGGCAAAAGGCTAATTGGTCGATAGGATGTGATGTCATATGGAGATTTGCCCAATTTAGGTATCATAATAATTTGAGAGACTTTCCATAGAGCCGGGTAGTGTCCAATTCTCATAATGCTGTTGAATAGTGTGGTAAGGTATACAACTCCTTTGCGTGGTAGTTCTTTAAGTACGTACTTGTCAATCAGGTCAAAGCCTGGTGCCTTTTTGTCTTCCATTTTCTGAATTAACATTCTTATTTCTCGTGGTGTCGTTAGTTTAAGCGGAAGGTCCGTTTGCTGTTCCTGATGTACAGTCTCATTTACTACTATTCCTTCTTCGATGAGGTTTTCGTCTTCAACAGGTTTACATACTGAGGCAAGATGGTTAGCAAATGCATTTGCTTTTTCTTGTGGAGTTTTAGCCCATTTATTATTTGACAAACGAATTGGGGGTTTGAATCCAGTTGGAGTTTGATGTACTCTGCACGCTTTCCAGAGAGAGTATTTCGTTGAGCTGGTTGCAGTGAGGGACTCAATTTGAGCTGCCACAACTGCATCTTCCTCATCTCGAATCGCATCCTTTAAATATTTCGCCGCCCTGTTATAAGCAGTTTTGTCCGTAGGATGTCTACTGGTGTGCCAAACGCGCCGAAGCCTCCTTTTTTCAAGAATTTTCTTGCGCATATCAGTTGAAACGTTGATAGGCCTATGAGTATTTTCTTTTAGTTGCGGGGTACTGTTCCAGCAGGTTTCCTGTAGTAATTGCGTAAATTTTGTGGTTCCGTCTTCAATATCGTCTGGGGATTTGAGAGGGATTTTTAAATCCAGTTGATCTTCTATAATTTCTCGAAATAGATTCCAGTCCGTAAATTTGTTATAGAGTGTTGGCTTTTTCTTGAATTTGATGACACTAGCACTAACTGTTAAGATAACAGGAATATGATCCGATGATCCATCCAGGCAAGACTCTATTTTGAAATGTAATCTTGATAGACCTTTAGTTATGAAGAAGTCCAGCACGTCTGGAAGCCTATTTTGGTCAGTTGGCCAATATGTAGGATCAGAGGTAGACATAGTGCTAAGATGATTCATGTCAATGCTTTTCTTGAGCTCCCTACCTCTAGTTGTAATCAGTCTTGATCCCCATTGTTCATGCTTAGCGTTCCAGTCCCCACCAGTTATAAATCGGTAGCCCAGAGAATTTAAATACGTAGTAAACTGGGTTTCAGTGACCTTATGTTTTGGAGGGCAGTAAACAGAGGAGATATTGATATCGCCCTGTTTATCATGAATAGTGACAGTTGTCGCCTGAATTGCATCAGTCCTATATGCGATTGATTCATTATGCTTTATTGAGGATCTGATGATTACAGCTGTGCCCCCATGCGCAGTGCCATCTGGGTGGTTAGTATTATAAATATTGTAATTTCTTATTCTAATTAAACTATTGCTGGTGAAGTGTGATTCAGATATGAGTAATATATCCAGATGGTGCAAGTTTAATAGTATTTCCACTTCACTTTTGTTGGGAGACAACCCGTTAACGTTCCAGGTCGCTAATTTTAAGGACGTAAAGATGTATTTTTCACTAGGGTTGTTATGAGACCCAGAAGGGTGCTCATTTGTTGTAACATTAAATCTATTTTTTCCGATTGTTTTATGAACATGTTTTCAAGTTTTTGGATTGTTGATGAGTTATCGAGGTTTAGTTGGGTCGGTTGTAGTTGATCTCTGGTATTAAATTTTACTATGTCTGCGTAACTGTAAGTTTTCTGTATATTTGTGTCTAGCTTTGTGCTTGTAGTCTGTGAATTCACATCACTTTTGGACTTATTTGTTTGCAAGGGGTTTACAATTGAATTTGGTCGCAGTTTAGAATGTCTTTGGTTCCTGCGTATTGATATTTCTTTGTAGACTTCACATCCTTTATAATTTGCTGGATGTGGTCCGAGGCATAGTGCGCAAGTCGCTGGCGTAGTTCGATCAGTTTTCCGACAGTCTTTTGTCTTGTGCGATTGACCACATTTGACACAACGGTATGGCCTCATACAATAGTTCTTAGAGTGACCATACTGCTGGCAACGCTGGCACTGGACTATTATTTGGCTCTTTTTGGGATCCTCTATTTTAACATTTTGATGATATATGTATTTGATATCTTTTGCGGCTTTGTTGTTCGGTCCAGCCGTTAGATTAACAAAGAACGTAGTTGTTGGACGTTTGTCAGGACCAAATTTAGCATTTATGATTTCTCCAATTACGAAATTTCCTGTTTCCTCGAATACCTCATGTATAGCCGTATGTGGCGTGCTGTGATGTAGATTTCTAATAACAATTCTGTAGTTCCTTTTATCTTTTCTATTAAAGGTGTGTCCAATCAGGCCTTGTTCTCTAATAACTGTTATTACACTTTTGTACACTTCAACGCAATGACAATTTATGCGGAGTTGTTTCTGATTGATTAACTTATAAGAGAATTGGTGACGTTTGGCTACACTTTCTAGAAGTTCTGTGAGTTTGTTAATATCCTCGACTCCATACAGTATTATAGGAGGTGGTTTTGTAGTTTTTTGTTGTTCTGTTTCTGGTTGGTCTACTGGTAAGCCATCATATCTGTTGACCGTTTCTATGGTTTCTGGGGGGTTGGATAGTTTTCGTTTTTTCTGTGGGTTTCTAACTGAAGGGATTTTTTGCCAGGTGGGATGGCCGTTAGTTTTAGATTGATTATTTCCTTGGTTAGTAACTTTTGGAGTATCACTTGCGGCAATACTTCCTAGAGACGCACTCCTTTGTCTGGTAGTGAACAAGCTTGGATGAAAAGCTTGTTGTATATACTTTTTCTGTCCAGTAATATTAACAGCTACGAGAGCCTGGGAGTCCACTCTCGCAGAGTCTTCGGTTACATATTTCACACTCTCCGGCCCGGGTACCGGGGAGCGCCGGGGGTTAGCCGGATCGCATGACATAACGCACTCATCATTATCTAACATTTCATAGTATAGGTTTTGGGAAACATACTTATAGTGCCTTCCCAGAGCACTATAGTCACGCTTTAAGAGGGTATTTAATGCCTCAAGGACAGTGAGGACCTCATGCAGGATAGTTTACCGCCGCCTGTTCCTCGGCGTTGTTGCTCGTTTTGCACCACCCGGGGGGCACGTGTAGGGTGGGCCTTGGCAAGGTGGTAAGTGCCTACGGATGCGAGCAACCATCGCCCCCCAAAGAGAGATCTAAGGTATTAATTAAATTATTTGAATTACCTGTGAGTTCGGATAAAATCTGCTGTTAAGACAGTAAGCGGCTGTTAGACTGCCATTTTCGTAAATTAAAGTGTGGAGAAGACATTAGAAATTACCTCTTTGCAAAGCTTTACGGTATCGGGAATAGTATGACTACCACTTAGGTAGTCATCCACATAGAAATCGCGTTTTATAGACATCCTTACATTCTCATCGCTCGTGCCGTCTGCCAAACTAACTAAACATTTTGTCGCTAAATGTGGTGCAGACGCAGTGCCATACGTCACAGTATTTAACGTATAATATTTAAGAGGTTCCGTAGGATTTTTACGAAATATAATACGCTGTAAGGAACGCTGCGAGGAATGTATTAATATAGCACGATACATTTTTTCTATGTCTCCTAAAATTACGTACGAGTACTTATGTTGCCTAAAACGGATCAGGATAGATAAAAGATGATCTTGGACGGTCGGACCGA